TGATAACAGGCAAAGAAAACAGGTTATGTGATATGTATCTAGTTAATGAAAATCATAGTGAGTAACACACATGGGTTACATATAAGCAGCACAAGCCTTTGGCCATATCCAATGATATTTATATGTTAATATGGTCATCTTAGTCAAACATTCACATAATGTAATTACAGTTGTACATAAAATGCCAGGGGTGAATTTTATACCATCTACTGCATTTTATAAGAAATCAAACGTTAGGATCAAGGTTTGACGTGTGCAATTATAAAAAAATGTGTATAATAAATAAATCAAGTGTCGAAGTGTCTTACATTTATGGATTTTTAAAGACTTTTTAAAAAACTACAAAAGGACTATTCACTTATACAGCGATAAAAGTTTATTTCAATTTATTTAATTGGTTATACATTGTTTGTTCATTCACTATTTTATTAACAAGAATCACCCACACATGATACATATATTCACAGCTTATCACAGTTTACTAACATTTATTAGATAAATTCATACATTATTTGATTTGATTATTTGATTATTTTATAGACTTTAATTTGTTATACACAACCATTCACATTGATTTAAATTCAAGATATTGAGTTTTTGAGATACACCCTTTCACTGAATGTTTGATTTATTTATTATACACATTTTTATAATTGCACACGTCAAACCTTGATCCTAACGTTTGATTTCTTATATTCACCTCTGGAGGACGGCTAGCGCTGTACGTTTTAAGAAAATACATCTTAATAGGGGCTGAGTGCCTTTAGTTCAGCAGCTTCCCACACCCTTTTAGAACAATTAAATTTCACATCATTTTTATCAATTCAAACTTTTATTCATATTTTATCATTTTCTAGTATCCCCAATTTCCAATAGCGCAAGTTCGTGCAATTATTACTGCATTTTATAGCTGAGATCTTGTAAAAGGTTTTCTGCAGAGGCTACTGTACTTATTTATTATTTATGTTAGGATAACCGTGCATTACTTGATTTTTTTCAAGTGTTGGATCATATTTAAGCATCACTTTAAGTAATTGTTCTGTATAGGGGATAACATACCAGGGATCCTTATACAGTTGATAAGGCAGAAAAAATTGCATGCCTCCATTGAGTCTAACCACACACACACACACACACACACACACTCTCAGGAAAAAAAGGATCTGTGGTTGCATACTTGTATCTACATGTCTGCAGTGGGAATCTCTAGTGCCTCTCGACTGCTATTTTCATGAGATTTGCTGTAAGAATTGGTGATCTCACTAATACAATGCTCACTGTTTTCCTTGCTGGAGAGCAGAGGAAGCAAAGACCTGCCTCTACTATACTGGCTGCCTCCATTCTGTGGAGAAGAAGACAAAATAAATCAGTAATGGGGAAAACTTAAGCTGCAGAGAAATCACAGGCAATACTGATGACTAGTTTTTTGCCCTCTGCATGCAAGCTGTCTACAGACCAGTGTGGGTACAAAAGATTTTACATTAATTTGTGCCTCAGATTTACAATTTGCTTCTGAGGTAACTGTTACCAGCTAGCCTGAATAAAGATCACCTCACATCTGTGGATTCTTCGGAAGGGGTCATAGTCAGAGAACATTGGGCAGTGAGACAACTGCTGGCCTAATAACCACTCATGCACTTCCAGCGCCAACCATAATCCTTTTTCTGGATTTGCCTTAAAGATGATTTTGAGGCACTGTCCATGAAAGCTTTCTTCCATTTTATATATAAAAAGGAAACCGTTGACAGTCAAAATACATTTTTCTACATGTTGGTCAATCTCTGTGAAATAACAACATTTTCAAACAATCAGAAACTTTGGTTATTACACCTTTTCAAGGACTGATTGTTACTTTTCTCCTTCATCACATTACTTTTACAGGCTTTTGTATTGTCTGTACTGATGGGCCAAACACCCCCTGTTCGGTTTGAATTCAAACTTTAGAACATGGAAAAAGTTTGAATTTGAACTTGAACTCAATGCAAGTCTATGGAGGTAGAACTTTGAAAATCAATTAACCCCATTTTGAAGGCTTATATGCAATTTATTGGCCATAAAAAGGTTGTGGGGATTCAGGTACTGCCCTGGGGACATGAATCAATGGAATTTTTTTTTTTTAAATACAGTTTTTAAAGGAGCAGTGATTTTAACATCACTTAAAGTGAAACAATAAAATGACAAATTTCTTTAAATATTGTGCCTGGGGAGTCCCCTTAAACTGACTGTAAAGTGGCACATCTGTACAATGTATAGAACCTGCTGCAGCAAAAATTACATTTGTAATGAAAACAATGACAATGTAAAAAGAAAAAAGCGTGTGATTCCCCCCAAACAATACCAGATCCTTTAGGTCTGGTAGGAATAGTTAGGAGGGACCCCATTTAAAAGAAAAAGCATTGGGTTCCTCCCAAAACTCCTACCAGGCCCTTTAGGTCTGGTAGGAATTTTAGGGAGGAACCCCACCCCCAAAAATGGGGGGAAAAGACATGGGGTCCCCCCTAAAATTTCATACCAGACCCTTGATCCAAGCACAGGCCTGGCTGGGCAAGAAAGGGGGGGATGAGTGAGCGCCCCCTCCCATCCAAGGCCACATGCCCTCGGCACTGGGAGGAGGCTTTTTCAGGGTCGCCCCTGGAAAAGCACCTTGTTTCCATGCCGATGGGGACAAGGGCCTCTTCCCCATAAGCTGTGGAACCAGCACATGATAATCTTCCAAAGAAATTAAAACTTTATTCCACATGCATCTGTACTAAGCACAACCACTGTTGTGTTTCTGCCTTACGCTGCCTTAGTCATAGCTATGTGTGCTGGTTCCACAGTTTTTGAGTCTATTACTCCGGAAGAGAGTCATCCGTGCACCAAATGTGGATTGCGGTGGCGCATGATAGGAGTGAACTGTGCGCTTCATGTTTTCAGTTTACTTGCCTCTTTCCCATAAGCCCTGGGGCATTGGTTGAGGGGGTGCAGGCAGGGGGCTTATTCACATCAGGTGACCCCTTTAATAAAGGGCCCCCACTTGTGAGTGAGTAAGGGGTACTTGTACACTTACCCATTCACTAAAGGGTTAAATCAAATTGTAAAAAAGAGGCCAGACTTTTGAAAAAAACAAAAGACAAGTTTTTGACAAGTCTTTTATTAAACAAAAAAAATTGATCCACCGATGTAATCCAGGGTCAATCACAACATCTAGCGTTGTTCACGATGACGACGATGACTTGACTAAATAAAACAATAAAAAATAAATTGAAATAAAAAAAACCTAAAGACCGCCGTCCCTTCTGCTCGCGGTGAACAGCTGCCACAGAATGGCATTTTGACGATGTTGGCAACATATAAACAATTGGGTGGAGATAGCTGTGACAGCTAGCCCTGCCCAACTGTTTACAGTTGTACAGCATCTGACAGGTCAGCCATGATTGGGCCAAGTCATCATTACTTGGCCCAATCATGTCTCTTACAGAGTACTGGGACCTGTGGTCAGATGCATGGCTATATCCAAGCAGGGCTTCACAAGGAGCAGTGTCTTGCAGGGTGCTCAGCCAGCGAACAGCCCGCCAAATGCCCTGACAGTTCGTGTGTTTGCCAAACACACAAACTCCATATGTACAAGTCCAACTTATGTTCAACTCGAACATTGAGCCAATGCCTAATTGTCAGTCTTGTGATTGTATTTTTCTCTAAAAGCCATGCTCCAAATTTAAACCACTAAAACTGATCAAAATGCACTAGAATATTTATCTTTGAATCTGCTTCTCAATATTATACCCATATGTGACAAATAATGTGTAAAGCATTATTGTATGCTCTTGAATTGACATTCGGATCATAAGGAAGCCTGTAGGAAGCATCTGCAATAATCCATTGTCTGAAGAGCTGTATATTTGTTTGCATTAGCAATAGAGATGGATATGCACAACAATTCATTTATCATAATTACTGCTAATCAATACTGATCATCAGGATATCTTAAACAGACTACACCAGATGTGATTAGCTGTCAGCTTCCATTGAGGAAAGGCACACTGAAGAGCTTCTACAGTAAGCTAAAGCTATTCGTGTAATGCCTACAGATGTTTTCTAGCCCTTTGTCATTCAGCACTTGGAATCTATAATGAGCTAACATGCTGCTATGTTATTAAGTTGAATTCTATTTAAATCTATTTCACTCAGAATGAAATACAATGCGGAAAAGATTATCTCACTTTTAAGTGAGCCCTGGTTCATAAAATTAAAGGTACATTTGCACATCAAACAAAAATACGTATGAGCTGAACTTGTTTTACAATTAAACATTTACCTTATAGAGAGGCACTAAAACACCTTAACATAGTAACATAGTATGTGAGGTTGAATAAAGACCAAGGTCTATCCAGTTCAACCTATGTAACCTATGCACCTTAAACTGACTTATAAAGACAGATAAGGCATTTTCTATCTTAGTACCTTGTAAGCACTCCATGTATGAGGCAAAATAAATGATTGTTGCATATACAGTATGGTTTCAAGTGTATATGACAAGCATTGGAAAAGAAGTAGATTTTTTTTTATTTTTTTTTTATTTTACCTTTTACATTTTTATGTGTAAGCAACCAGTTTACAGTAAATAATAGTATACACAATGCCCATTACATTTTGTTCGTGCTGTGGAACCAAAACAATGGCAAGAGATGCACATGTGTGACAATCTGAGTGTTTAAAGCACAAACCTCAGGCTGGATAGAATGTGCTGAATATTCATTGGATGTAGCATTGGGCTGTTCTGAAACTAGTGCAATGCTTATAAAGGTTACTTTCATCTGTAAAACCCTGCACCTTGCATTGTTAAAAAGTGTTTTTTTTTCCGGATTTTGGGTAATTGTTCAATGTCTCATTAAGAAGAAAAATGTAATTAGGTCACCTGAATGACAAAGCTCTGCAATTTTTTCTTTCTGCTGTTTTTGCACCATTGAAAACACTTTACATTTGATGTGTGTTTACTTATATTCATTTTCTTTTTCCAGGTCGTTGAAACTAATTTGGTTGCCTTTGACTGTCACTGGATCATAATAAATGAGGTAAGTGTCTTTCTAGTGTTACAGTAAAGTGCTAATCTTATTTGCATAATATAAGGGAATTCTCAACTAAAGTATGACTTTGCAAGACATATTTTGTGCTGGTTTTCAGCTTAAACTAATATTTAAAGAATAGACAGTGTAAATGCTGTGTTGTATTATTAGGTTGTATATTATTAGGACTTGATCATTTAGCTTTTTGTTTGCACTAGTGAACAGAAACACCTATCAATGTATTATCTCCTGGAGAGTTAAACATAAAGATTTTAAACTTATGTTACGTTTAAAGACAGTTTTGTCTCTGAAGTTGTAGTAATCCAAACCTACATTAGTTGCACATGTGCCGCTACCATGACCTAAAAGCCATTGAATCATTGTGTCTGTGTATACTTACCTTGACCCTGTACTAATGCAGACTGAAGACTAGGAAATATCTGCTCTTTACTAAAACTGTGCACATTTTATTTTCAAAAATATGCCAGTAAAACAATTACGTTGTATAAAATGCTAAGAAATTGCCCAGATTTTGGTTTTACAATGACAGTCCCATATATAGAATCAAATTATGGAAGCCTCTAATAACCTCGTGGTGGGCAGCATAATGATGACATTGTGCTGCTCTTTTGGTGCTTTAACCATTATTTTAATCATTACACAGGACCATACAAAGTTTTCTGAAAATATAATATTTTGCTGAAATTGATGTTTCTGGAGAGGGACACAGCAGTAAATGCAGGTAGAGCAGAGCCAAATATTCAGGTAGGCAGCACCGTGTATAGTGTGCAGCCAAGATAGTTCTCACTCTTCTTATACTCTGTATAAAACAATCCAGTAGTATTAAAAATGAATTCAACCTTCTTCCACTTGATCCATAAATAACATTGTTGGTTGGCTGTGAGCTATGGCCAGGTAGGCAGAAAAATGCATTTTATGCAGCCAAGTCGGGTATCATGCCTTTCCTGGCCTATAGATTATATTTTGAAAATATTAAAGCATCAGCAACATTGTGCTTTTTGTTTCAACCATTACCTGGTTGTTGGAAAATTGGCATGCAGTGGAATATGGGCATGTTGATCATACAGAAGCTTAATGCTATATTAGTAACAACAACATATTCTTAAAGAAGAACTCCAGTAAATTGTTTTCTTAACACTGGCAGTGGGGATACATAACAAAGTTATACTCACTCAGCCTGTCTCCTCCTTCACTGCAGCATTGGAATCTTTCTCAGTGTCCTCACACCTATACACAGTGTATAGACGTGATGATTTAACGGAGCTTAAACCGCTGCAGAGGAGGGGGAGACAGGCTGGAAGGACCAGTCTAAGAACAAGCCAGCTTGGAGCATCAGGTGAGTAAACATTTTTTTAACCTAAACAAAAATGAGCAGTTAACCTCTGCATTGAAGGGTAGCCCCATTGAAAGGGGTAATCAAAATTCGGCCAAATTTTCCAAAATTCAGACACATTAGAATTTCCGAATCCCAATGCATCCAAATGTGCCCGAATCTGAATTTCAGTTTCCGAATTTTGAATCCCGTCCAAAATTCATTCAAAAGCAAAACTGAATTGAACATGTGACTTTTCTGGCCAATTACATGGGTTTTTCAGTTTAATGCATCCGAATGGGTCTGAACAAGAATTTTCCTTACGACAACATGGGAGCCAAATGCAGTATATACATATAATACTAAAGTTGAGGCTCCTAGACCTGAATGGCATTTGGCATCCAAATTTCTGAATGGCATTCGGGAGCTCCCAATTGCCATTCAGGTCTGGGAGCCTCAGCTTTAGTAATATATGTATATAGCTCCCAGACCCAAATGGCATTCGGGATCCGAATTTTCAAATTGCATTCGGGAGCTCCTGAATTCCATTCGAGTCTGGGAGCCATATACATATTTTACTAAAGCTTAGGCTCCTAGACCCAAATGGCATTCGGGAGCTCCTGAAGGCATTTCGGAAATTCGGATCCCAAATGCCATTCGGGTCTAGGAGATTCAGCTTTAGTATTAATATCTGTATATGGTTTTCTGTGGTATTTGCAACGAATAATCGTAAACTCATCCGAAACTAACGAAGATTCGGATTTCATCCGAAACCCGAACTAAGTTGAATTTCGGATCCGAATCCCGAATCTCGAAATAACGAAATATCCAAACCAAATTTTTCCACAGCTTACATGTCTAAGGGGTAATCATTTTTTCCCCAGAGTCCTTCTTTAAAAAATATGTCTTTCTTTAGCATTTTGCAAACATGATTTTGGGAGGGAAAGACTTTTCACCCAAACTGTTGCTTTTTGCTGTTCAGGTAAACAGCAAACTAATGGATTTGTTGCCACAAACTACCATTCATGCCTTTTTGGCCTATTGAGCTGCAGTCAGGTGGCAAAAAAGGCCAATAATAGGGGTTTTTCACATGTACCAGTGTGTGTTGGAGTTGGAGCAGTTACTCATATTGACAAAAATAAGGGGAAAACCAGGAGGCAATCTGAGGGGACACCTCTTCATACCAATTATCCAAAAGATCAGTCTATATGCACACCAGTCCTTTACGAGAGCATGATCTATCCACTTAAACATGTACTAATAGTTACTTTAGGTGGTTTTTACTGCACTCTCATCTCTGTCACTCCGAGAGTATTGGTGCCACTTCAATAAACCATACATACTGTATATTAATGTAACAAAAAGAATGTGTCTTTGTTACCAAACACATATCTCAAACATGAATACCCCTTTAAAAGCACTATACCTCCTAACTATTGCAGGACCCTGTCACTATGTACATTTAAACATTTCATAAAGTACATGAATGGTACATAATTATACATATATCACGTATATAGTAAAAATATATAGATATGTGTCTATAGTAAAAAAACTCCCTCCAGAGTAAATCCTCAAAGAAACTTTATTCACTATCATGTGTAATAAGCTATAGCCATATGTCTGCATCCTTAGATGATTGTGCATTAGCATGAGTAATAATTCCAAAGCCTTGCCCTATACAGACCAATGCAGATGATGATTCCATGAGGCTGAGAGTTATATATTGATCTCATGGATGTATTCCAGGGAGAGATATGTATCTCCATGTAGTAATTAGTGCTGTTTGTGGTGATGGGAATGCCAAGGGTGTGGCTCCACCTCTAATGGGACATATGTTCAGTGTATATAGAGATGAATTATAGATAAATATCCCAAGAATGAACTAAGCCTGTCTATTCACAAAAAAGTGCATTTTTTTTGCTAAACACCAAAACCCAGCACAAGTTTAATAGGATTAAGGGAACAGTCTCACCCATGTCTTCATCTCAGGAACAGGTGTATCAAAGATGGTAGCTGGATAATAACCTCAATGCTCTCAAAGTGGCTCAAATAGAGATCTCCATATGTTGGTAGGAGAGACCCACAAACTATGTCCTGTGCAGACAAGATAGATGGAAAACAGTTTTTCTATAAGGCAAGCAGAAAATGCAACCAATGAGCACTCATAGGTATAGCACGCCATGCATCTATCTAATGTGTTTCATCCACTCTGGACTTCCTCAGACAGGCGTTGACACCACCAGGAGTTGTACATGGGATGAGGTATTTGAGAAAACGGTTATCCTCAGTGACAGTAAAGACTTGGATTCCCCTGCTGCCAGAAATGTCAATATTCCTGGCTATTTTCTGTTGTTTCCAGTATGATACACTCCCTCTTGCTTTGTAGTCAAGTAAAACTGCTTGCATGAAGTTCAACAAGTATGTACAATATTTCTGGCTGCTGTGTCTGAAATAAAGCACTCTAATTTTTATTTCTTGACAACAACTGCCTTGTATCTTCCTCTTGCATTTAAGTCCACTCAATCTCTTGACATACTATCCAGCCACAGTGTCAGCTATTGTTTCTGAAAAATTTGTGGCCCACAAATTGAACTCAAGCACATTCACATTTCACTAGTCAGAAAATTCATAATGGCAAATCCTGACAGATACCTTCTTACACTATAGCTTCTGTCAGGGTCCTTGCATGCTCCAGGTCTTTCGTGTCACTTCTCTTTTTTCTCTCTCTCTTTATCTTCTTTTTGCTTCTCTGATGCTTCTTTTTCATTGCATTGTTTTACCCCATTGCTTTTCTCTGTACTTTCTTTTTCGAGGTATACATTTTCTTTTAAGCCTCTAACCTAAGTGGCTATTTTTTATACCTACAAACAATTTATTTACTAAGCTATTATCCCAAAATATTGATTGGTGCTGGTGGTGCTGGTGAGCTAATACCTCTGAAGGTCATATGTTTGATATATCCCTTGTTATGATCACGCTGCTCAATTATTATTTGGTATCTTTGCATTTCTGTGTAATTCTTGTTCCTCAGGTACTCAGAATCTGTGTCCTTAAAGTTTCCATATATGTTATTTTTGTAATATTCAGTAAATCCTTTATGAACTAAAGATTTGAAATACTGCTACTAGTTCCAAAAATTACACAGTTGACTGCTTGTTGGCTGTCACCAAGAGGCTAGTAAAATGTATTGTACAGGACCAAGACTGGTTTTCTTGATGGAACACCCTATATGTTACAAAATATACACAACATTTAAGTAAAAATTAGACAAGTAACTGTTGTGTAACAAAAACACATTTAAAGTACAATTAGTTCAGGTTTCTTGCTTGAATTAAAATGTAACAGATGTAAATCACCAAGAAGATTAACTAATCAGTGATGAACCATTCTCCTTTATTTTAGGTAGTTTATGCTGATGCAGTGCTCATAGGAGGAGGAAGGTCATACAGTACAGTGCGGAGAGAAAGTATCAATACCAACATGCAGGATATACTACTCAAGTTAAATTCCAAGCGAGAGACAGTCACCTTCACTGTCACTTAAATAGTGTCATCTAAGCAGCATTTGGCTCTTTTTCTCATAATCAGCCTAAATTATGCTATATTTATCTAAAGTCAAATGAACTGAAGCCAAAATTGTAACCCTGCATTTCAGCCAGGTGTCTTGAAGGAAT